TGTCAAAAATCAGCTAGGCTTATATGGTGAATCTAATTCTAGGTTCTCTATTTTGTTCCATTGATCTATGTGCCTATCCCACTGCCAGTACCACATAGTCTTGATAACTGTAGCTGTGTAAGTCTTGAAATTGGGTAGACTGATTCTTCCTCTTTTATGAAAATTGTTTCAACGATTCCAATTTCTTTGCCTCGCCATATAAATTTTAGAATAATCTTGTCTATATCTCTAAAAAATCTTGTGGCTATTTTGATATAAATTATATTAAACATATCAGTTTGAGGAGAATTGATTTTTTTACTATGCTGAGTCTCCTAGTTTTCCCATTTATTTCCTTTTTTTTTTTTGTAGTTTTTAGTATACAGGTGCTATACATGGATTTTTAGATTTACACCGAATATTTCTTTTTTCCTTAGCAGTTTTAAATGGTATAGGATTTCTAATTTTGGTATTCATATGTTCAGTAATGGCGTATAGAATGTTTATCTTATATTCTGCAATCTTGTAGAACTCATTTATTCTAGAATGCTTTTTGTAGATTCCTTGGGATATTCTATGTGGACAATCATGTCATCTGCCAACAGAGACAGTTTTATTTTTTCTTCCCCAATCTGTGTACTATTTTTTTCCTTTTCTTGCCTATTGCATAGGCTAAAACTTCAGCATTGTATTGAAGAGAGGTGAGAGCAGACATCCTTGCCTTGTTCCCAGTCTTAGAGTAAAAACATTCAGTTTCTCACCATGAAGTATAATACTAGCTGCAGGTTTTTTGTAGTTACCTTTTATCAAGTTGAGGAAGTTCCCCTCTATTATGGTTTTTCTAAGAGGGTTTTCATGAATGGATATTGAATTTTGTCAGTTGCTTTTTCTATGTACTTAATATGATTATGTGATTTTTTTTTCTTTAGGCTATTGATATGGTATATTATAATGATTGGTTTTTGAATATTGAACCAGTCTTGCATCCTGGAATAAACCTCACTTGGTCATGAGGTATAATTCCTTTTATGTAATTGTGAATTATTATTCCTAATATTTTGTTACGGACTTTTGCATCTTTATTTATGAAGAATATTGGTCTGTAGTTTTTTTGTAATGGCTTTTCAGGTTTTTGTATCAGGGTGATACTAACTTAACAAAATGAATTGAGAAATATTCGCTCCTCTTCTATTTTGTGGAAGGGATTGTATAGGATTTGTTTTCATACTTTTAAAATGTTTGGTAGAGGCCGGGCGCGGTGGCTCAAGCCTGTAATCCCAGCACTTTGGGAGGCCGAGACGGGCAGATCACAAGGTCAGGAGATCCAGACCATCCTGGCTAACACGGTGAAACCCCGTCTCTACTAAAAAATCCAAAAAAACTAGCCGGGCAAGGTGGCGAGTGCCTGTAGTCCCAGCTACTCGGGAGGCTGAGGCAGGAGAATGGCGTAAACCTGGGAGGCGGAGCTTGCAGTGAGCTGAGATCTGGCCACTGCACTCCAGCCTGGGCGACAGAGTGAGACTCCGTCTCAAAAAAAAAAAAAAAATGTGTGGTAGAATTCTCTGGTGAAACAATCTAAACATGGAGATTTACTTTTGGAGGATTTTAAGTTATGAATTCAGTTTCCTTAATAATTATAGGGGTATTCAAATGAGCTATTTCATGTTAAGTGAGTTTTGATAGTTGTGTTTTTTGAGAAATTGGTGCACTTCATGTAAATTGTCAAATTTATGTGTGTTGAATTTTCGTAGTATTCCCTTATTATCCTTTTGATGTCTTCAATGTCTATAATGATATCCTCTGCTTCATTCCTGATGTTTTCTCTTACTCTTTGTCAGTCTCGCTAGAAGTTTGTCAGTTTTAATCAGGAAGCTAAAACACCTTAACTAAAGACACCAGTTATATCCAAATTGCTAAACACAGTACATATTTTTCAGATCTTGTTCATTGTCAGTTCTGTATTAAACAGCAATGATTAGTTCTTCCTTCTTGAAAGTCTATATCCTGTAGATATCTGTGACTGTGTGCCCTTCTGATTTTAAACCTCAGTGACTCTTCTTGAATCAGTTTCTATCCTCTGACCATTTCATAAATATTGGTCTTCCTTAAGATTTAGTCCATTGTTGACTGCTTTTCATCTCGCTCTGTTGTCCTTGGACAATTTTATTTCTATTCACTGCTTCCTCTGATAACTTAGATAGCTGTAATTCTAACCCAGATGTTTCAGATTACTGTATTCAATTTCTTGTTAATCAACATCAAAGTAAAGGTGTTCCTCAAATCTGCCGTGGACCAGATTGTACTTACCTTCTTCCTTCTAACACCTCTTCCCACATTTCTTATGTCATTTTGTGACCTCTTCATTCAACCATCACTTAAACCAGAAACCTAGGAATTATAGACTCCTCTCAATGCCTTCCAAACCATGATCAATCTGTCACCAAACCCTATAGTTATAAATAATTTTGTCCACTGTTCTTTATACCTGCTGTCAGTACCCTAGTTTAGTCCACCATTTTTTTCTTTGATGACTGTAATAGCCTTGGTTTCCAGTGTTGATTTTTCAGATGCTCCCACCATGCAGTCACCATAGTGATCTGTCTAAGTGTATGAATCTGATTCACACTCCACTAAACCCTATAGTATATCCAAAGTACTTAGTACCGGGCCAGGCACTTAATTCCTTATTTTATGCCGTTAATTATTTTAAGTATACTTTAAAAATAGTTTCTACCTGATAATTATATTATTTGAAGTTTTGGGGGTATACTACTGCCCTTTATAGTTCCTCCAGACATTCATGTATGGTGTATGGTGCATTATTTAACGAAGTGTTTTCAAGTTTTTTATTTTGAGCACATCTTCAATAGGACTTTATCAGTAGTTATTTTGCCTGGGTTTAGGGTGATCTCTGGGGAGTTTTTGAACTTGCTTCTTTCAAGTATCTGAGGAGTATCCTTTTTCAGGATCACTTTTTTTTTTTTTTTTTTTAATACTTTAAGGTCTAGGGTATATGTGCACAATGTGCATGTTTGTTACATAGGTATACATGTGCCATGTTGGTTTGCTGTACCCATAAACTCTCCATTTACATTAGATATTTCTCCCAGTGCTATCCCTCCCCCAGCTCCCCACCCCCCCTCAGGCCCTGGTGTGTGATGTTCCCTGCCCTGTGTCCAAGTGTTCTCATTGTTCAGTTCCCACCTATGAGAGAGAACATGCAGTGTTTGGTTTTCTGTCCTTGTGATAGTTTGCTGAGAATGATGGTTTCCAGCTTCATCCATGTCCCTGCAAAGAGCATGAACTCATCCTTTTTTATGGCTGCATAGTATTTTCAGGATCACTTTTTATGTGAACCTCTTGGCTCAGTTGTTCTCATACTGAGGAGATGGTATAAATTCAAATGCCAGCTCTACCTGAAGACAGGGTTTTGATTACAGATTCTTGGTGAGTATAAATTTACCCCCTCTGAGCCCAGGCTGAGACAGACAAACTTCCTTGTCATCTTCCTATGCCAACAGGCAGATTTTTTTTTTCTTCTAATTTCCTTTCATTGAGGATGCGGCTTTTCAAGAATCCCAGTTTTAGGCAGGTCCTCTGCTTCAGTTCCCTCTGTTAAAAGGGTTTAAGGCCTCAACTTCTTTCTGGCATTAAAACCCAAGCTCTTCTGCGACCAGCAAACCTACAGGATAGGATCAATAACAGCTCGGAACTTACTGCTTTGGTTTTCAGTTCCCTTTTCACTTTTAGACCTGGCTATTGCCCTTACTATCTTAGGAGCTCAGCTGTGTATTTTAAAGGATGTTTATTTTCTCTAGCATTTCTAGGAAAGTCCTCCTGCCACCAACTCCCCGTTACCTAGCCCACTGTATTCTCATTCAGGGTTGAGATTTGCTGTGGCTCTTAACACTTTTTACATCTATAATTTTACCTCCTATTTTCGAAGAATCAAATCTACATGTAGTCATGAGTAATATTCGTAAGTAAAGGAAGCAGGATGGGTCAGGGATAGCCCTATAATCCTTTCAGGATTGTAGGTCCTTCTTTAGTCACCTCTCTCTCAAATAATAAGAGTTCCTTAGGTTTGACCTTTTTATCAGACAGATGTTAGTATGTGGAGCTCTTTTTCACATAGTGCCTTCTCCCTCCTGATGAGATTTCTGTCCAGAACATAACCCTTCCAGGATTTTTAAAAGGAAACCATTTCCCTGTAGCCAGCAGAAAAGGAAAGAATACTACTGAAGTTTGATGCTTGGTTACTTGACAATTTCCAGTCATAATAAGCTACTGTTTCTCCCTCAGACTCTTTCCATTGAAAAGGGTCAAAATTGTGGGTTGTCATTTACTTGATATGAGTCTGTACATGATGAATTTAAAGCAATAAAAATATTGTGAAACTGAGACGTTAAATCAACGTTAAAATAGCAGGTTTGGAGGATTGTGACAAAATATGGGCAACCTTAATCACCTGAGCCACCAGCAGGACCAACTGTATCCCGTTATCAATTTGATTTATTTTCTTCTGGTTTCCTTTTTTTTTTTTGTGAGTTTTCTTTACAGATCTGTGAGACAAATGCATATTTTCACCTAGTATTTGTTTTAATGATATTGTAAACTCTTGATAAGCTTGTAAGACATATGTAGCATTTTACTTAAATAATAAAATTTACTTAACTTTTCCCATGTTGTTGAATGTAATTCATATTTCTTTTTTTTCTTTCCCATTTCCCCTTCCCCTCCTTCTCCTGCTCCCTCTGTTAGAAAGATGCAGTGAACACCTTAATGCATTAAAATAAGTTTTATTCTTAAACATATTTAGGGTACATTTCCAGAAATAGAATTACTAGGTCAAACGTTCTATTTTTCAGACTTTGACACATAATGCCAAATTGCTTACCAAAAGCATGATACAAAGTTATATCCTCCTAACAGTCTAATAGCATCTTAAGCAGTCCTGTCATTATCAGTGGGCCACTGGACAGGGTTGTGGGGCTGATGCTTTCTTTATGGTTCCTCTACAGGATATGGTGCCTGTCATAGTTGATTACTGCCTTCTGCTGCAGCGAAAGTGAGTATGCATTGCATGTCAGATTCAATTATTTTGGAAACAGGTAGCCTCTTGTTTATGTATAAGCCATTGCTAGGAATTGTATGAATTTGACTGAATAGATTAAAAAATATTAATTTATAGAAATTTGATTCTTTAGCAATTTTCAGTTCATTTACCTAATAAAATTAATTTTCCTAAGACAGATGCTATGGATATATTATTTATTTGTGTGGCAGGATATTGGAAGTAAAGAACGTAACTAGCAAAAGAGCAGTATTAAGGAGTTTTAAAAGTAAAAAGTGTATGATTCATTATATATAGATATATACATACATGTATATACACACACGCATATATACACACACACATATACACACACACACATATACACACACACACATATATATACACACATATACACACACACACAATCTCCTGTTTTTGGTATATATACTTTGTTTTTTTTTTTTTTTGAGACGGACTCTCGCCCTGTCGCCCAGGCTGAAGTGCAGTGGTGCGATCTCGGCTCACTGCAACCTGCGACTGTCCTGCCTCAGTGGCAAAGGTGGGATTCAAATACATGAGTCTAGCTCCTGTGTTCTTGGTTTTAACCACTGGCTTATACCACTTTGTAAGTGATAGAGAACAAATGTGAAGGTTTAATGTAGATATCTCCCAAAACCCTATGCAACACGATGTGGTTCATGAATTTATATAAATTCTAGTAGCCTGATTCATAAAAGGTTGGGTCATATTTTGAAGTATCAGTAAAGGTTATCAAGAGGGCAGTAATTTGCTATGTCAGACCTCTGATGCAGTCATAGATAGCTATAGTAAGTTCTCCTTGGGGCTCAAATTGATTCCAGTGTTTTAACTCTAGTGTTACATAATTAGCGAAATACATCGTGCTTACAGTAGGGATGTTGAGAACATTACTTTTTTTTTTTTTTTTTTGAGACGTAGTCTCGCTCTGTCGCCCAGGCTGGAGTGTAGTGGCACCATCTCGGCTCACTGCAAGCTCCGCCTCCCAGGTTCCCGCCATTCTCCTGCCTCAGCCTCCTGAGTAGCTGGGACTACCGGCCTCCCCCACCAAGCCCGGCTAATTTATTTTTTGTATTTTTTAGTAGAGATGGGGTTTCACCGTGTTAACCAGGATGGTCTCGATCTCCTGACCTCGTGATCCACCCGTCTCGGCCTCCCAGAGTGCTGGGATTACAGGCGTGAGCCACCATGCCCGGCCAAGAACATTACTTTATATTACACATTGTCTTCTTTAGGCTACAGGAGAAATTTCTTTCAGGTGTTAGGGCCAGAAATACCTTTGTGTCTCTTGAACAGCTAGTTTACTTTTAGCTGATGGACAGTGATTGTGTAGTTAATCATTGTGTCCTAGAAAGCAAAGCACCATGATATGTCTGCTAACCTTACCCTATCGTTTTCTAAATTAGTTCTCTCTTTACCTCCCTTTCACACTCAATTCCTTGTTGTATGTCCCTGTATTTTTAAAGCAGCCTTAATAGTTTATGAATCAGTTTTACATATTCTACTTAACTCTCATAAATACCATCTAAAGAGAGGTAATGTTATCCTCATTTTCAGATGAGGAAGTGGAGGTGTAGAGGTATTTCTAGTACTAATAAGTACTGGGATCAACTCTGATACTCAAATTGAGATAATTTATAAATGAGATGAAGTGAAGTGCCTGAAAGACTAAATTTTATTTAGAGTAAAAAGGCTTATTTTTATAAAACTGACTATTTCTACCTAGAATGGTGCCTGACACAATATAGCTATCCAATACCTGATGGTTGAACTGATGAAGTAATCCTGCCTCCTGATTTGCAGGGTGACTTGTGATCATTATCTTGAATACTAGAATACTGTCACAGTGACATAAAGTTGAAGTGGGTCTAACAGTTGTAAGATGAAAGATTATATAGGGAAAAAGAAAAAATTGATGATATTTTCCCAAAATATTTTGTTATTCCCTAAAATATTCCGGAGATAAACTTTTCTTTTTTATATGATTTGAAAAGGAAATATTCTCTAACATTTATTGCACCTATTGAATGGCTGAGAATGCAATAATTTCTGTATTGAATCACAGCATATAACATAGAAGATAAAATCTGGTCTCAATTTTCACCAAATTAGGATTTATTTATTATTTCTTTATTTTCGTCAACTTCTTTCCTTTAATTTTTCCTGATTCCTTAGCGTGCTTTCTCTGTATTGTGTCAGAAACAAATACAATATTTGTTGTTGGAGATCTCAGAAATAACAGGAACAGCAGTCATAGTGTATACTCCTCACCTCCAAGAGGAAGAGAATCCTTCCTCAGTTCAGCTCTTCCTGGTCCTTTTCATACCCGTACCTCTTTTCTTTCTTCCTCCTCCTGCTCTTACATACTCACTCCTAGATCAAGGCCATGGACATTTTCCCTGAACCATAGTACAAAGAGCACACGGATGGCTTCCCTCTCGCTCAATTCTGTTTTTTAACACCGTAGACTGGATTGTACTAGATCCTGCCTCTGCTTGGGAGAAGTTCCAGCATGTGGGTTCTTATTCTCTTTCTTTCCCTCCTTGTCTGTTTCCCTAATTCTATTCTTTGGGTTCTAATAGGAGAAAAAGTGGGAGGGCAGCATTCCCAGAGATGTAAGAAAGGTTGGGGCTGTGAAACTAGGCATTGGGTCAAACATTCCCTCTTTTGTTCTAGATCTGTGTTGTGCTTGTTTGCTTCTCACCATACGGCTTTTCTTTTTCATCAGAATGTTAAGATTCTTCTATGTATGGGCCTGAGCTTAGCAGGAAAGGTTGAATAAGCCATTTGATCAACTTTAATTGTTTGCATCTAGGCCATCTTTCAGTTCCCTTCCATTTCAAACATGCAATGACTAAAGATTTATTAGATATAAGAATTCTATGTTTAATTAAATAGTTCAGTGTAACCACTTAAATGGTAGAGTTTAAAATTTTTTTTTCTTAGAGTTGCCATAGATAATAAGGTTAAAAATGGTCAGTTCCCTATGCTAAATTGTAGCAAAGAAGTGTCAGATGTAAGTAGCTTCATTCCAGTATAGTACTTTTCTCTTTGAACTGGACGCTCTCTTTATACTATCCTTTTTGACATTTGGTCCTATTTATGTCTAAGGTCTTTTCTTCTACATTTCCAATTTTGTAAAATATCTGTGACATTAACATTGCTTTAAGGAATGCTCAGATTTTGCATAATACAAATACAATCTAACAAAATGTCATTTAGTACTCAGCCAGCCAATTTCAGGTAACTTCTTCCTACACAGACACTCAATCCTGTTCCCCAGATTCCTTTTATATTAACGTCTTCTGATTGAGTATGTTGTTTTTATAGGCAGTCCTTTTATTTTCACATATTATATTGTTTCTTATGTGAGTGAAATTATAAACATAATACATGCTCTGAAATTAATTTTAACTTAGTGCCACAACCATTATTACACTATAATCACTGTTACCTCATAGTTTCATAACTCAGAGAATTCAGTACCCATCAGTAATATTAATTAAGCTAGTGTGTATATGTATTCCTATTTATATTTAATAACTCTTTTATAATGTAAAATCATTTTTACTATGTGACAGTAATCACATTTATTTTTCTGTGTAGGGCATACTGCTCAGTGTATTATGGACATCTATCTTGGTTAAAATTTGGCATTAGAATCTTTTGTAAATTACTTAATATCAGAAATGACAGGAATTCTGTTTTTGAAGACTTATACTTTATTTTCATAATTTGGTCTGTGTTCCACAATTTCATTTCAATTTCGTTTTGTGTATTTTTTTTTTCAGTATTAGGCAAAAGACACAATGTCTTCAGGCTTTTTGTGGGATACTTCTGATTTGTCATTTTACCTATGCAAAATACAGGCTATATATTAGCATATATATGGTAGCCCTAGTGTCAGTTTTACTTTGAAAATAGATCCAGAGTTTATGTAAACCATAATTATAATTTTAACGTTGTTTAAAAATAGGGTTATGTGATTATATGTGAATTATATAGCAATAAAGCAGTTATTTTAAAAAAAGCAAAATGGGTGTTCTACACGGATGATACTGACCCCTTTGAATTTTGATCACTGTAAGGGGTATTCATAGTTGTTAAGGAGCCATCGTTCCAGTGGCTTGCGTTACGTATGCATCTGAACCAAAAATATTTCTGTTAAATCCAAAGTGAACTTGAAGTAGTCTTTTCATTTGTTCCCTCATGTTGTTCAACATCAGGACTATTGTTTGAGAAACAAAAAGATCTTAATTATCAAGACTTGTGGAAGAACTGGATGTTTAAAATTTTATTAGGGTGGTGCAAAAGTAATTGTGAATTTCGTCATTAAAAGTAATGGCAAAAACTGCAGTTTTGCATCAACCTAACATCAAAGCTAGGGGGAAAAAGGCCTTTTTAATTTTATTATAGCTATATTGAGATATAATTCACATACCATAAAATTCACCCTTTTAAAGTATACAATTCAGTAGTTTTTAGTATATTCACAGTTGTGTAACTATCACCACATGCCTTTTTAAAGGAAATCTTTACAAACTGTGGTACTTGTATCAGAAAATAGAGCATTTTGAACATAATTTCTTAAAATTCGTTTGAATTTTGCTTTTATAAATAAGGAAACCAGCCCAAATCAACTTTGGATGTATTAAATACCATTTGTATTTGGTGGAAATTTACTTACTTGGTTCTGGTTATGTATTTAGTATGGATTGGCAAGTGGTAGGATTGATGCCCTTGTTCCCCTTTCCATAAATTCTAAATTTGTAATTTCTTATAACCAGAGCTGTTCTTCGCTTTTAAAAAATCATGAAATTGATAATGTACAAAGTAAATTTAACAGTTGTCCTCTTTTTGAAGTTATAAATGATAAACTTCAAAAATATCTTTAATATGAGTACTATTATAAAACGAAGTTTGTAGAAATATCTCTTTGGTCCTCTATTATTTATGATAGATTTTCTGTTAGACTGGCCATAGGGAGGCTAAGCTTGAAATGGTAAACATCAACTTTGAAGTCAGTCCTTCTAGGAAACAAAGATAGCACCCTGGAGAATAATGCCTAAATATAGAAAGAAATGTGAGAGCTAAAAATTTTTGTGTGTACTTGTCTTTTTTTTTTTTTTTTTTTTTTGAGATGGAGTTTCGCTCAGTTGCCCAGGCTAGAGTCGATCTCAGCTCACTGCAACCTCTGTCTCCTGGGTTCAAGCGACTCTCCTGCCTAGGCCTCCTGAATAGCTGGGATTACAGGCACACGCTACCACACCCAGCTGATTTTTGTATTTTTAGTAGAGAGGGGGTTTCCCCATGTTGGCCAGGCTGGTCTCAAACTCCTGACCTCAAGTGATCTGCCTGCCTCGGCCTCCCAAAGTGCTGGGATTACAGGCATGAGCCACCGCACCCGGCCTGGACTGTATGTACTTTTCTATCTCCCCTCTTTCCTGATGCACTAATAAATATTCCCCCAGAATGATGAGAATCTGTCGTTGAATATAATTTTTTTTTTATTTTATTTTAAGGTAGAGATGCAAGTAGGAGTTGCTCAGCCTTATTTTTCTTTCTTCTTTATATTATAGTTTCTGATTGGTTAAGAAAGAAATGTGTGGTTTTGCATTTATCTTACCAGCATCACATGCTATTTGACACAGGAGTGCCTTGTTAGTTAACTTTTGTAGCCTTTACTGAATTTTTAGCTCTTTTTAATTCTCTCTCCAAGGCTTTTTGTACTAAGCTAAAATATGTAATTATCTTTTTTAGCATGTTCCTTTTAAAAACACATTACAGAGTACAAGGACTAGCAAATCTGACATTTTCTTTGAATCATTAGTTGTCTTGTTACTTTTTCTTTCTTACAGTAAAACTCCATTAATCTCTGTTTCTTCTGCTTGGCTGGTAATCATTCATCACAAAAATATGATGAATTATTGATTCAAATGAAACTGACATGAAAATAGTTCGATAAATATTAAATGAAGAGGAAAAATGATGTAAAATTACATTTGTGCATTTGAGAACAAAATAAATGGCTATGGATTTTCCCCAGAATATTGCAAATGCTGTTAATTGCAGGGTGACATGGAGTTCGGGTGCAGTTGTAGCCAGTCTGTTTTCCGTCTGTCCCCTTCCACGACTTCAGATGAGTCAAAACCCCATCCTAGTCCTTTCAGGAGCTTCCTTGACGTTTGTGTGGGACTTGTCATGAAAGACCATACCTGTGAATAAACAAACCATTTATCACTTTCCACAACCCCCCCTCGCCCGGGGCTAGTTTTTTGTATTTTTAGTAGAGACGGTGGTTTCACCGTGTTAGGCCAGGATGGGTCCTTCGATCTCCTGACCCCACCTCCCGTGAATCCGCGGTTTCTCAGCCTCCCCAAAGTGCTGGGATTCACAGGCTTCAAAGTCACACTGCGCCCCGGCTTATTTAACGCCTGTTGAGATTATTTACTTTTTCTCTAATGTGTAATTTCTTTATACGTATAATCGTGTCG